AGCCATGGAGTGGGTGGGGGCGGGGAGGGGTGATGGGGGGCGGGGGGCGGGGGTGGGGCAGCGGGGGGAGTGGCGGGCTGGGGAGGGTTTAGCCACAGATGTGTTGTATTTTTTGAAAGTGCAATAACTTGGTATTTTGAAGACCCGGCATGTGGCCAGGACCGCCTGTGGAAGGCGGGGGCCCCAGAGTGCGGCACCGTGTGGCGTGGGGGGGTCTCAGTTTTCTAGCCAGCTACCTCGGTAACTCCAATTCAGGTTAACTTCCCTACGGAACAGCGCAGATGTCCACGGGTGCCGCCGTCACCGGCCCCTCCTCAGCAGGGCACGGGGCGGCCACTTCCAAGGGGCAGCAGGGACCTGCCCGGCCTCTCCATTTGGGGCAGTTCCTTCCCCTTTTTCTTGCTCTTGGGTTTTCTGACGGGTATGAGGCCTGCCCGGCACCCCCTCCCCCTGGGAGCCTCAGTCTCGTCTTCCAACAGGACTGGGCTGGGCCGCCCTTCAGCTACCTGCCTGGCCCCAGGTGGCCCCCGGCCTGGGGTCCAGTGACCACAGGGCTCCCACAGCTGCCCCAGATGCCTCCAGGGACCCGCAGCTGGGTGCCCAGCCCCTAACCCAGCACCCTTGCTCCCGGAGGCCACCCCTGGTTCTCCAGACTGCCTGTGCCCACCGTCCTTTTTGCTTTTCTTCTTCCCCACGCCCCCACTCCCAAGCCCCAGAATAATTTTTCTTTGTATAAACAGAAATCTAGTCAGGAAGCAATATCATTTCAGGTCTAAAGAAGAAAGGGACACAAATCTGGTCGAGGACAAATTCAGTTTTACTGTATAAACTCGGTTGTGCAGTTCGGCCCCCACCGCCCTCCGCCTGCCCTGGCAGCCGAGGGCCGCTGTTTTCTAATATTTGTATTCTAATTTAATTGTTTTTTAAAAATGCAAATAAAAAAGTCAAGGTGAAGCCACTGAGGCGTCCGCTTCTCTGTGTATCGGGGCTGTGGCGGGGAGCAAAGGACAAGTCTTCCCGCCACGTGCTGCACAGCCTTCGGGTTCCAAAGGCACAGCATTTGATCAAATGAGGAAGATTTCATCTTGAGCTGCCAGGTCCAGTGTGTTTGCTGGGCCGGACAAGGAATTCAGACAGCCACTGAATCCCAGGACCGTCCCTGGCCCCCTGGGTGACCAAGAAGATACACAAATGCTCAGTAAGCTCAGAAAGATGCTCAACATCTCGTCACCAGGGAAACGCAGCTCACGACCATGAGAGGCCACCCCGTGGCTCACCCGCACCGGCCGGTGAGGATGAGGACGAGGACGCAGAGCCCTGGAGGGCGCCGGTGGGAATGTGAGATGGGGCAGCCTTGGTGGAAGGGTCCCAGGCTGGAGTTGCCATCTGACCCAGCGGCTCCTCTCTGAGGTATCTGCCCCAGGGTAAATGGAAACAGGTTCACAGAAACACTGGCACGTGCGTTCGTAACAGTACGATTCACAACAGCCAAAGGTTTGTTGGGAAGCAACCTGGGTGTCCATCGACAGGGGAATGGCTACACAAAATGTGCTCCATCCGTGCAGTGGAATGTTAGCCTTAAAAAGGAAGGCAGTTCTGACACCCGCTATCACGTGGATGGACCTTGAGAACACGATGCTCAGAGAACCAGACACAGAAGGACGCACAGTGTGTGATTCCATGGATGTGAAACATCCAGAATGGGCCGATCCACAGAGGTCAGAGGGTACCAGGGGCTAGGGTAGAGATACGGAGTAACTGCTAATAGGGAACGGGTTTCTTTGTGGGGTGTTGAAAATGTACTGGAACTAGATAGAGGTGATGGTTGCATAATTCTCCGAATATGCTAAAACCTCTGTTTCACTAGGGTGAAGTGTGTGAACTTGATGAAGAGCCAAAGCCTCCCCCCTCAGCGGAGGAGACAAGGGAGCGTGAGTGAAGACACCCTCCAGGGCCCAGTGGCTTAGAACCTTCCTCCACCGTTCTGACCAGAGGCCTCCAGTCTCCTTCGTGGCTGGCTCACCGTCCATAACATCTTCTATTTGCACTGGGTGCCACCCAGCCCGAGCAGGAGACCTAGGTCTACAGGAACACAAGCAAGTGACCTTGCTGCTGACGGAGGACCCCCCTCCCCACACCAAACCAGCACTCCGAACCCCTCCCCAAGCTCCTGCTTTCGTGGCATTTCCAGGCAAGGGCCGTCCATCTCCCAGGCTGTGGCGTGGCCATTGTGCCCCCATGGTGTCCCTCCATCACCCCACCCCCAACCCGGCCCAGGTGGCCCCAGTCTGATTTGGGGACTGGAGGGAGGGCACTCCCCAGGGCCCTAGAAGTGGTGGTATTTGGTGACCCCAACCCAGAGGAGGGGGCCGCAGCCCATTCCCCCCAGGGGTTGGGGGAGCAGTGAGCTCAGATCATGGATCATGTCACAGAGACCCATTGTAGGGCTACATCTTGGGGCCCTCTGGCCAACTTGGGGCTCCCTGGCCAAGGCCACCCCACCCAGGGCCTCAAAATACCCTGCAGTTGAAGGTGACCAAGAAGCCCGCCCAGCCGGTTCTCCCCGCCCACCCCCGCCCTCACCTGGTGGCACCCGCCTGTGCCCAGGGGTGTGGGTCACCTCCTCTGTAGGGGCCCTGGGCCTGGCACTGCTGGCAACACCCACCCCACCCTGGGAGCCCAGAGGCAGGGTCGCTGCGTGCAGACCCCTGCCTCCCAGGCCTGGTAGGAAGAGTCAGGCTGAGCTAGAGGTCCCTTCCTGGAACCCTAGTAGAGGGGCCCCCCCGAACCCTCCATCCCCGCTCCCAAGCCTTCCCCCAACAAAACACAAAGAACATCAAAATCAGGCAAATGAGGCAGCAGCGGTCGTAACAGGCTGCGTTTAGTGGTTTTTTTATGTACAAGAAAAATGATTTTTTTGTCTGGTTTTTCATCATCTTTTGTCCTTTTGTTTTTCTTTTATTACTTTTAAAGCTTCTCCCTCCCCACCCCCAAAAAGTGCATTTTTATCAATTGTTTTTTTTTTAAATCTCCCACACTTTATAAAGACTCTCAAATACAGTCTATGGAATGTCTGCTCTGTGCTCTTTGACCCCATGGGCTTTGCCCCCCCGCCCTTCTCCACCAGGCCTGGCCCCCCAAAGTCCAAGGCACCTCGTGTCTGGGCCCGGGCAGGGCGGGGAGGACCCTGGGCATCAGGACCCCTGGCCGCAGCCTTCAGGCAGGGATGGGGGAGGTTCTCCCTAGCCCTCTCCATCTCCTGCCCTGCCCCCATCCCACATGTAAATCTATATATTTAGTGCGAGCTAGTCTCACTCTGAGGTTATGGCTCCTGGGGTGCCCGAGCCCCAGGCCCTGACCCGTCCTGCGCCAGCCATCATTGCCCATCCAAGGAAGGCTGCTTCCTCAGCTTAAATAACTTTTTTAAAATAAAACTGCAAATATAAATATCTTTCTTTCTCAAAAAATAGGATTTTTGCTTCTTTTTTTTTGTTGATTTTTACTTTTTTTCCCCGGTTTTCCTTTCACTCTCTTGGTCTCACCTCCTACAATCCAGGCTGCCTGGACTGCCTCGGTCCTGGGGGGGCCCTGGCCCCTGCCTCTGTCCCATGACCTGTGATGAGGCAGTCCCAACCACGGCCAGTGGGTCTCAGTAGTGCAGACTCCCCAGAAGACCCTGGAAGGGGCTGGGGGACTCCCTCCCCTCCTACCCAAGACACCCCCCACCCCTTTAGAAAGAAGCAAAGGGACAGCCATGTACAAACAGGGTGACAAGACAGGATGGCCACAAAGGGCCTCCTGGGCAAGCCGCCC